GTGCCTGAACTACAACAGGGAACTGCTGCTTTTTCTTTCCTAATCCTTACTATCGTCATTTTTCTCTACTTCTTTTGTATGTTTGTCATGCTCTTAAATAGCATATTTTGTAGGCCTATAGCGCAAATCCTCGTTCAACAGCAAGCTATATTTTGCGCCTCGAAATCTAGGCCCCATAGACCTACACAGGGACGTCACTGTATAATCTCCTTGGCCTGCTATTACTATTACAATTATATTATAATTTATAGATGGCAGACTATTGTTTCCCTACGCGACACTCACCCGTACGCAGAGCTGTTAAAGTACTTTTAAAAAAGTATTTAAGTACAAATTTAAGTACGATCTAAAAAATGTACTTAAGTACAGTAAAAGTACTTTCCAGTAAAATGTACTTAGTACAAGTACTTTTTAAAAAAGTACTTCAGAGTACATTTTGAGTACTTTCTGCTAATACGCTAAAACACTTCAGTGCTAATGCAAAACATCATATTGAATAACATATCCAGTATATTTGGCAAATTAAGCCATTTATTACCCAAAATGTAAACAGTATACCAAGCATTTGAATATACAATGTACGCGCTGAACGAAGGTGGAAATGGTCCGTGAAATTGAAAAAAAAAAAACCCAAACAAACAGTCGCAACTAGTGGGTAAGTGATATTATGAATAGAACTTGTTTGAGCAAGATAATGTGATCAAATGTAAGTCAGTCCAAGAGGTCGGAAAGTTCTACAGGAAAAGTATTCAAATTGGAAAATGTAGATACAAAGTTGCTCTGAAGAAAACATAAAATGGATGAAAATGGCCAGCATAGAAATGGAAAAGTGCATTGAATTCTTCATTAACAAATCCTCAAGGAATCAATGTAGCCTTAAGCAAAAACCGCCCAAAAAAATGTAAACAGAAATTTAGGTAGCCTAAAAAATTGTTACATCATATTGAGAACTCAGTTTCAGTTTCAATTGATTATAGAGGTAAGACAGATTTTGGTCACACTGTGTAGTCCACG